GCGTGCGCGGTCGCAGCAATGTCGCGCAGCCTACGAAACTAGTACAGCTTTTCTCAGTATATTCGCGTGAGTAACCCGCGATTTTTAGTTAATTAATAAACAGCTAATTGTTAAACATAAAAACTTAAATTCCCTGACGAAGACCTACTATAAATGTTATTTAGAACAGCTAAGCTATTTTGTAACTGTCAATATGAACTTCCAAAGTGAGTTCGCTCACATTCTCGCTCGTCATTGGTCGATATTTTTTCACAACCAATCACATTGCAGACCACGATCGAATTTACGATCTTTCCGATTGAAACTTACAGAATAGCTTAGTTATATTTGATCATTAGATCATCAACATCAAATATTTCATGATCAAGAAAAATATACTTGGGTGACCATTACTAAAAATAAAACTTAAAACTATTAAAGGACATTGCTCTGCGTCCATACATTGTTGGCCCTGGAGCCAAGAGTATCGGACAAATATTTATCGTATTCTCTATCATTTGTAGACTCCTAGAAAATCTTGTTTTTATAGTGGACTAGCTGCAGAAAAGATATATTTCAATAAAAGTATCAGATTTTGAAGTTATACCTAATCTAACCATAATAACTAGTATTTGAACGTATGTTTAATGTTTGAATGATTGTATATTTCTATACAATCATTTCATCATCTATATAAAGAGGTTTTGATTACTGTATTCACTGTATTACTGTATTTACTACCTATTTAAATTGGAGTATGACTGCATTCATAAATATAAAAAACACAATCGATTGATTATAATTGATTGGACATTCCTATTTCACTTTCGACACGACATGATATAGGACTTGCTTATTTATTTATTTATTTATTATATTAGGCAGAGGCCTTTAAAATTAGATGAAGATGGCGATCTAATGTTATTAATAGGATTAAATTCTATTAAAAGTACGTTTTGGAATACAGCTAGTCCGTGATACAGAAGTATTTGCAACTTATATAATAAAATAGGGGATTAATTACCATATAATTCTGATACTCTTTATTGAACAGTGTCATTTTGGGCATTGTCCTTTAGTTTAAAAATTTTACTCTTAGCGGTTATAGACAAAACAAGATGTAAAATGACGTTACCTTTGCGGCTATGACTGTCATATATAAGAGGGAGATTTTAGTGTAGCAACAGACGATTTTTTTTTATTTGGGACAAGCCCGCCACACCCTTCCAAAACCGTTACAATTATGGCTTACAGGATACCTCCTGTGGCTTACCAGCCATGATCAGGAACAATCAAAACACCTGAACACTCAATAGGGTCTCAGTAGTAGCACAGAGTTTGGAATTGTTCCCGGTATATGTCAATAGGTTCACCCCCTATTACATGGAACTCATAACATAAATAGTGATAAGTGGGTGTTACATTGTGCAGTGGCATTAAGTGCCGTAATGTGCACCTCTGTCTACTTCTTCGGGGTTAAAAGGCGTGATTTTATGTAAGAAAAAACAGCAACATACATATGTTGTTGTTCGTATCCTCTAACAATATCTTTCGTTTTCTAGTACATAGTGTTAGACGACGAAAATCAACTAAGTCTAACAATAGTTAATTTCATTGCAATCTAAGATAGTTGTTCATGTCCCTGCGATGCACTAGAGTTCATTATTTCAGTGTTATCGTGGTTTGAAATTGGGGCCAGCCTGCCACAACCTGCCAAAACCACGGCAACTCTTGTAAACCAGGATCTATAGTAGATACAACCATGAAAATACTGTAACACTGCAGCGCGTCATAGCTTCCACTTTCCTCAGTGAATTACTGAAGGAAACAGAATGAATTAAGCCAAAAGGCACAAAAAGAGACTGTACAACTAGGAGAAGGCGCCAAGCACCAATCAGATACAAGCCAGTTATCGTGGATTAGTTTCGGTAGATTCCTGTTTCGGATTGGGCGGAAGGATATGCCCGGGTGTCATCACAGCGAGGATCACTCGGAGGACACGGTGGAGCATACGGTGACGGTGTGCCCTGCGTGGGCTGAATGACGGTGAGCAATGGTAGCTTGCCCCCAGTAGGGCCGATGCCCGATACGGAGTCGCGGAAGGCCTAACGGGTTGCTGAGGCTCCGGCTCGAAGAGCGGAAGTAGGAACGCGATGATTTTTAGCCAGTAAGAGTCTGACACTCCCTTTCGTCTAAGCCAAGGCGGGAGAAGTCATTGGATGATTTTCCCCCTAAAAAAAAGACATCGTGGTTTATATTTGATTTAGATACTTGTTAACAGTTGTAGAAGTTTGAGTGGGTAAAAAAGTGAGTAAGGTAGACCAAAAAGTTGGTGTATCCCGGACTGGGTGATGGTGATGATAATGATAATTTCACTTGAAATTGATTGAAACAGAATCATTTCTTGCATAAACTACGTTTAAACAGCATCTTCCTTTTTAAAGTCAGTCACAAAAATGTTATATTTTCTTGGACGAATATTACAACACGTTTCTACTATCGACTATCGTAAGAATATAATAATGTGTGTTGAACGTGCAAAATTAGAAATCTGACAATTGTCTTTAAATACTGTTAATCTAAATTTCCTTACTTTTAATCTTAAAAGTAAGAATTTAGAATAATTGCCTCGTAGGTCGAGATACTAGTTTGATTAATACTAAGTTTGGAATCTCATTGGGGACATTTCTGTTACCAGGGAAAAAACAGGTTTTTATGCTGCTATTTTCGTAACATTATCAGATTTTCGTTCCATATCCATTATTAACAAAAAAAAGTTTGTATACGCAACAACAAAAAAACTGACCGTTGCAGTCAAGAGTTACATGTGCTTATACACTGACTGCAACGGGCGCAGGGTGACTGAGACTTATTTTACTGACTGTCGGATTTGTAGTGTTGTGTTGTCAGTCAGTGTATAAAGTCAATTGACTTTCACGTGCTGTAACATTTTACTGCAACGGTATTTGAGCGGCTGACGCCCACTGCTCATAATTATCCTTAAAAAAGGATAGAACTATTACTTGTAAAGTGGTAGCAAAATGAGTTTTCGAAACTAGCGTGACCTCCTCTACTATTTGAATTTGATATGTAATTGGGTTTCGGCACCTATACTTTTTTTTCTATTTATACATGCAAGATCATTTCTTTGGTCTTCAGAACTGGTTTTTCTGAGTATCTCTTGTAACAGGGCCATGTTGTTCAGAGTTTCAGAGGTTTGACAGAGGAAAGTGAGCGGTTACAGTTATAGTTAAAGTTATAACGTTATTTAACAATTTGTCAGTTGGTGCAACGTTTTTTTGACCTAACCGATACTTTAACAGAAATTTTGTCGTTTGTTATTGTTAAAGTAAGTTGGTACAACCCAGCCTTCTTAAGTCTATTATGTTTTTTTTTATTTTATTTTTAATGTTTTAGGTTATTACTTAACAACAAACCTTTTATTACGTCGACCTGTAAAATCTGTGGGAGCGTCATGCTTCGGCACGAATGGGTCGTTTCGACCGGAATGATACCACGGCCTCACAGAAAACCGACGAGAAACAACGCTGGCGTTGTGTTTCGTCGTATGAGTTAAAAAAAGGCCGGTAACGCACTTATAACGCCTCTGGAGTTCCAGGTTTGCTTACCATCAGGTGATCCATCTGCTCGTTTACCGGCTTATCCCATAAAAAATTCTATGTAAGAAAATCTAAGAATCTTAATTACATACACTTCTTATTGTTCTATCGTCATAAAACCTGGCAATTGTACGTAAATTACCATTCATTCTTATTGTTTTCTTTTATCGTTGGTAGCTCACATAAGGTTGGCAACACTTAACCACCGTTGTGTGACATTCATTGGGTTTTTTTTTAAGGGGGATAATCATCGAATATCTGCTCCCGCCTGGGTGAGGCGGAAGGGAGTGTCAGACTCTTACTGACTAAAAACCACCCCGTTCCTTCTCCTGCACGTCGAGCCGGAACCCCGGTTACCCGTTAGGTTTTCCGCGACACATTCATTGGGTTCAGTGACTATTTTCCATCAATGTAACATATTTCTGGTTTTCTTTCTTAATACCAAACATAAGAAAACAAAAGGAAATGTTTTGCTGTCATTGGCTTTAGAGATTGAAAGTGTTTGCTGCTCTATAAATCTTAAAATTTTTCACATTTATTTATTAAGTGCTTACATTCTAAGCGTCTCCAATTAGGTATATTTGAATACAAAATTTCAAGAAGGTAAGTAGAGTAGATAACGCATAAAGCTCCTTCATTAATCTCGTCACCATTTCAATGAAAAATTTAATTCTTTAAATAATCTAATATTAGTGTGACCGGTCAACTGCCACTTTGGCTTTCAAAATCTTTGAACGATGTATATTTTGTCGAATTTTTTGGTCACGTTTTGTCAAAAAATCCGTGAATTTTTGGGTAGACATGCCCTGGAATATAAACCACCTCTACATCAATGCTAACTTAGTATATGGTACCCTCCGGCTATATGGGGTGTAGATATTCGCCAAGTGGCTAGCTGTGGTTAGAGTGTCAGACTAAGGATCGAACTCAGTGGAGAAGTATTCGTCTTGCAGTGAATGCAAACAGATTAATAATAAATATGATTTTTGCATGTCAAGGTAGTTTTTACTTTTTATACAATGAAACCCAAGTAATATTAACGATTTAATAACTTATTTTTAGTAATAATGAAAAAAGTAAAATATTACTTAACTTACCTATTTTTTATTTTTACCTATATTATAGCAACGTTATTAAAACGTACATACCTACTTACACACGAATAATGAGATCAAATCATATTTAAAATAAATCGTATGAACAATGCTATCAATTATAATAGTGTTGCCAACAACAATAAAATTTTCCTGAGTGGTAAGCCAAACGTGATTAAACGATGATTTTGAAATGGTAATTAAATCAATAACAAAAAATGTTAAGAAATTAACATAAGCCTATAAAAATACCGTTTATATAACATTTCTTATATTAAATTGTCTTAAGGCATTATTATTATTAAAATCAATTTTTCAACAACATAGCACCATAAATGCCACCTAAACCAAAAGATTTACCAAGAAATCCATTTTCACTAGGATCCTCATCAGCCTTTTTTGGGGGATCATCTTTCTTTTTTGTGAAAGTATTTGCCGCAGCAATACCCAGATATGCTCCTGCACTTGCTCCTAGTTTAGCACCGAGCTCACCGGCCAGTTTTCCACCTATATAACTTCCTGCTCCAGCACCAATCTTTTCAATAGCAGAAATAATTAAGTCAAAGGAGGGCAAGCCAAACCTGTCTTGGAATACAATTGAATCAAATTCACCGGTTTCCAGTCGGGATAGTAGATATTGTCTCTCTGATGGCGTCAGGTGACTTTCTATGAGTAGTCGGTCGTCCTCTGCAAGTTGTTTTAGTGTAATTTTGTCCAGTTGACTAAGTCTATATTTATCCTTTTCAGCTTCAACTTTTTGTCGAAGATGAGACTGTTCCATTGGCTTTGTATAGAAATTCTTCGGTAAGTGGTATGTTCTGAGGTTATAAGGAATTGTTGGTTTATAAGGAACTAACGGTGTTTCGAAGTGTGGATTATCTGAACTTTCTATATGACTTCGCATCATTAACTCCTTTGGTGCTTCATAATCACGATAATCTCCTTTCTTGCTTATATGTAGTTTACGTAATATTTGGGCTTGACACGTACTGACTATAATAGCCAAGATTACCTGAAATCAAGTGATTTTTATACATTTAAAATAAATACATACATACATAATCTTACGCCTTTCTACCCCCATGGCAGAAACTATGGAACGCCAATTGCTACGATTTATACATTCGCTTCAAATGTTTCGCTTCAAGTATTAAGCAAACGTTACCTTTACTTTTAACATTAACATTATACTCAAGAAGTGTCTTAAATTTGAAGTCTTGCTAGTGAAATATCAGTTGAACAATATGTATTTTTACAATTCATTGTTACCTCACCTGAATATATACTTGCATAATTGATTGTTTGCTCAGCCTCTGCGTCTGGCGTGGCCAGCCAAGTCCAGAGGAATTGTTTAAGAGCAATATTAAACTTTAAATTGTAGAAGTATATAGCCATTAGTAATGCATTAGTAAACAAATGGTTTCCTCGTTAACAATCATGATAAGAATAGTTGCCGTGAAAAAAGATTTTCTAACATAAACGCAATAAATGTTCGCCTTTGACTAACTTGTCACGCGGATTTATTCGATTATAATCGAATAAATCTAATTAATTGTTCGATAAACACCAATTTTTTCCTAGATATAGGTATTTACAATCACTAGCTTCTCCCAGCAGCTCCGCCCGCGTCCCGTAGGATAAAGTATTATAGCTTAATTATGTGTTATTACGGACCATAATCTACCCGTGTTCCAAATTTCATCCTGATCCTTTCAGCCTTTTTGACGTGATGGACTAACAAATATGATCTAAACTACACACAAACTCACAAACTTCCACGTTTATAATAAGTATAAGATATAAAATAGTAACACGTGTTATTGTGAATAATATAATAATTTTGTTACGGACAATCTGTCAAAGATCGATGTTATGTAAAATGGAATCGTGTGAAATAGATCGATTTTGACTTTCCCTTACATTTATATTTACTAATAGAAGACTAAAAACATTATTATAAATAAATCTATGTTTGTGTGTATCAGAGTGGATATTGTGGACTCAGTTATCATTTTGCCGATATTCCCCAAAGCCTAAGTAACATTCTCAGAAGACTTAGGCCTTTTTTAAGAGGGGAACATCATCGAATGACTTCTCCCGCCTGGGTGAGGTGGGAGGGGGTGTCAGACTCTTTCTGACTAAAAACCACCCCGTTCCTACTCCTGCACTTAGAGCCGGAGCCCCAGTAACCCGTTAAGTTCTATCCCCGACGCCCGGAGTGACCTTCACGATGGCTGGGTTGTGAGGAGGCAGCGCTTCGCTGCCTCATGCACCCCGCCTCCTCCTTAGCTAGCATGACTGCTTCGCAAAAGGAGAAGATGGCATCTCCTCCAGTCCCCCGACAGTCCCCCTCGCTCCGCATCATGACCCGCACTAGGGTCGGACGCGAGAGGTCGCCGTCGCCAATCACTTCCCTGAGGGCACGGCGGTGCTCAGCCCACGCAGAGCATTCCCATACTGTGTGTTACACCGTGTCCTCAAAGCGGTCCTCGCAGTCATGACACCCGGGCGTTTCCTACCGCCATATCAGACACAGGTACCTCCCGAAGCTCCCATGTTTAGTGAGGACCTGCGTCAGGCGGTAGGTGAAGACGCCGTAGCGTCTCTCAAGCCACTTCTCAAAGAGGGGACTTACAGCTTCAATAGCAGCGAGCCCAGTCCTCGGTTGCGACAGTCGTTGCTGCCATTCCGCCATGAAATAGGGTAGACGACTAATTTTTATTTTAATGTCCGTCTGGTAGATTATTTAAAAACATTAGACACGTATTTTTTATTTTCTTACGCAAACGAATAGTTTCGAAGATATATTGATTTGAAATGTCGCGTGACGTCACTTCTCAGTACATTTTATACTGAGAAATGACGTTTTAGCCCCCACTCCTAAACTTTGATTCGTTTTATCTAAGTATTGTTTTATTATACGACAAAATAAAAAAATACGTGTCCTATATTTTTTAATTACCTAACTTACGGACTAATTAGATTTTTAATTTTCATACCCTGTCATCATCCCACGAGCGGCAGCAGAGTTTCGCTCCGGCGACGTGCCTTCGCGCAGACATTACACACGCGCTAGCACCATCGCTTCCAGATACCACGACGGTAATCCGGCAAAGAGGTTCGCAGCCTTCCCGGAGACTGTGCAGTATCTGCGGATCATTCGAATCGCCATGACCCTCTGTGACGTCACACGTATATTCACGTGAGTAACCCGCAATTTTTAGTTAAATGTCATGGATACTTTTACTTGATTATAAAAATTAAGAGAGATATGATTAGTGCGATGAAGAAGCAGTCCCGATTCTCTCTGCTAGGAAAAAGAGAGGCGGGCGGGCGAGGCATGCGAGGTAGCGAATTTACTGACGCAGGTAACGGTCCAGGCGTTGGGGACCGCGCGTTATTATTCGATAACCGTCGCGTCCTGTGCCGCCCCTGAAGAGAAATCAGACTACCACAAAGAGAGCCCTTTGGAACCGATTTTCCGGCCGCAATTGTAGACTAAGCACAATTATTTACCACGGATACCTTGCTGCAATGAAAATAGCTATAGAAATTTTCCTCGATATAGTAGAATGGAACATTTAGAATTAAGTACTAGAATTAAGTAGAAAGGATAAGTACTCATTAAAGTTATTAGCGTTACGTGTTTAATTTCAAATTCTTCATTAATCCATCACCATTATAAACAACACGTGCTACATCTGTTAATCCTTAAAGCAGCAAAATTAATATGTTTTCATTAACTGGCTTTAATGATTGTACATACATGTCTCGGTTTTTTTATTGTCTTGCGTACAAGAACGTATTCTTGCACCATATAAGTACTAATACAGGATGACTGGCTTGAACATTTTACTCAAGTATACTCTTACCAAAACAAGTTATCTCTATCAGTAATTTATTATTCTTCGTACGGTCAGTATTTCGTTTATTCATTGATTAACAATGTAATGAAAAATCATGATAACTTAAACCGTTTCCTGCCTTATCGAACAGAAATCACATTGCTCTTATACACCTTTTACACACCTATTTCCATATTAATATACAATAGTGGAGCCAAATATAACTATGTTAAGCATTTTAAATGAGGTTCAATGCGTTGTGGCTGGTAGACAAACATGCCAAGAGGCAGTGAGCATAAATATCGTGCAAGGGTACGTGTACTACTAACACACACTAGTTAGATAATTAAAAATATTAGACACGTATTTTTTTATTTTCTCGTGTAAAGTTACAATACTTAAATAAAATGGAGTTAAGTTTAGGAGTGGGAGGTCGTTACGTCACAACGTGCTACATTTTGTAGCACGCTGTGACGTCACACGACTTTTCAAATCAATATATGGTCGAAAAAATTTAATTTTGTAAAAATGACAACATACGTGTCCAAGGTTTTAAAATAATCTCCCAGACGCACATTAAAATAAAATTTAGGAAACTACCCTATTGAGTTTACATTTTTAACTTTACATGATGTGTAACAATTTTACTATTCGAGAACAAATCTCCTGAATTTCATATTTTTTATTTATTTCTAAATGAATGAGGATTAATAATTTTATGTAGACCATAATGATCAGCAAAATAATAAGTCTTGGGCAATTTTGAGTGCGATTTTAATTTTAACCAAAAATATTATATTTTGGCAATTTCAAGAGTTATTTGTAGTCGGGATTGGTTTAACGGCCATAGCCGAGACCATGTCTGTAGCCGCCATAGCCACCTGCGCCGGCGGCAGCGGCCGCAGCTGCGGCGGCACCACCGGTCATGCCTATTTGTCCGGCGAATTGACCACCAACGTGACCTCCAAGATGGCCTCCGGCGTAGCCTCCAGCAGCTGCAGCAGCAGCCGCCGCCGCAGCACCTCCACCGTACCCGAAGCGACCCTCAGTCTCAACTTCTGTGGGCGCCCCGTCACCACCATAATTTTGCCTTTGATATACCTGTGGTCTTGCCATGCCTTGGCTAATACCGACCAGAATGAAGCAAAATAACTGAAATAATAAAATAAAACATAACATCACGCCTTTTATCCCCGAAGGGGTAAGCAGAGGTGCACATTATGCCACTGTACAATGTAACACCCACTTTTCACTATTTATGTTATGAGTCCCATGTAATAGGGGGTGAGCCTATTGCCATATACCGGGCACAGTTCCATACTCCGTGGTACTACTGAGAATTTTTAAAAACCCAGTAATACTTCGCCCGACCCGGGAATCGAACCCGAGACCCCTTGCCCGGCAGTCGCACTTGCGACCACTCGGTCAACGAGGCAGTCAAATATATGTAAAATAAAACACTTGTCAATTATTGTTATATTGCAGTCATGAATTTGACTTAACTAGAATTAATTAATTTATTGTTTTTAAAATATTAATATTCTAGTATGCTACTTAAGATAACCAGTAATATTGTCTACAAACATAAGCATTCGTTTTTAACCAATTATTGGATAATAGAAATTATTATTGAGAGATTAAAATATTTAGAGGGCTTTAAGTATGTTCTACCGATATTTTGTTCTTTTATCGAATGAAACATTTTAACAGATTTTTTGTTTTTATAGAAATGAGGTCGAAATTGTGGTCAAAACTCGGCCCATCAATTAATATAAAAAAAAAATTATACGTAGTCTATTGTATACCTAAAATTGAATATGGAAACTTACCAAAGCGACTGTATTCATCCTAGTGGTTTCGATGTTTTGGTGGTGTTCTACAGTTCCACGTTCGTTTGGTGCGGGTGCGGGTGAAGAAAAGTGATGCCCTTTATTAAGCATGCGTTACATATACATAGGCTTTAACGCTAAAACAAATTCGCCATTGGATTCGGTCTCGTACACAAAATATTTTATTGTTTACAAGTGATTAGTTTGTTAATACTGATTAGCTTAATGTTTTCCGTTAAACTATTTTGGATTAACAAACCCGATTAATGTATAGAACGCATGTACCTATTAAATTTAAACTACAATTCTTATAATTTTTTATTTGTCCATTTTGTCGCCATGTGCTTTTTTCTATAAATTCCAAATTTAAGTATGTTAACGGCGTATTTTTAATTCGAAAATATTTTTATTAAGTGGCCAGGTGTGGTAAACGAAGTTTACTTATCGTTAACGTAATAAAATAAAAAGTGTTTTATCATGAGTAGGTATTATGACTGTCTGACAATTTACACAAATGACGTCACTGCTTTTAAAGTGTGTGTGTCTTATGTGACTTTAAGCACTAATTCATTATATTTTTGTAGAACCATATTGTTATTTTCTCTTGCATTATAAGTGTGACTTTATTTAGAAAAACCATGCTCAGATTTCATACATAATATAAACGGGACTATATTGTATGGATCATTCAAAGCGTCACTCTGAAAGTCGAACCCGCGACAGATTATCCAGCATCTGGTTGCACAACCACTGCACTATTACAGGATGTCTTCAAAGAGATAGGAAGATATAGCTAGAATCGAATTATTTTGAAATAATACGAAAACTGAGCTATACCTACCAATCGATTACGAAAGTTACATTTGAAAAGAATGTCACAAAAGTACCCAATTGTTATTTCATGGGCAAACATACAAATTTTAGAGAGTTCAACGTGAAATAAAAGTTTAATCAATAAACCGTTAATAGTAATAATAATAGATTAAGTCATTTTAAATTACGAAAACAACTAATTGACCATACGTAATAAATAATAGTGTTGTGGTGGCTCGATGGTTAAGACGCCCGCTTCTCATGCATGAGGGTTCGAAACCTACCAACGGCAAGCACCAATGTGACTTTTTCCGAGTTATATGTACTTTCTAAGATTATTTAGACACCACTGACAAACGGCTAAAGAAAACATAGTGAGGAGAACTGGGCTTATATATAATATCTAATTATAAGTTTGAAATCGCCAACCCGCATTGAGCAAGCGTGATGATTAAAGCTCAAACCTTCTCTGTGTGCGAAGAGACTGCTCAACAGTGGGCCTTTATAGGCTGTTGATGTGTGATGTGAATAAATTATAGGTACCTACAACTGTTTAATTCTGATTTTGAATATAGATGGTAAGGAACTGGTACTAAATTCCTCCTGTATTCCTCTCCAAAAACCGTATCAACATGTTTAAATTATTTCATTTTTAACAAGTTTTTATTGAGTCGAAATTTTTATAAAACATGTACTAGAGACCTGCATTGTATAGGCGTCAAGTCCCAACATAACAGAAACCGTCAATAACACAAGCATAAGGATCTCCTGATGGTAAGCGACTAGCGCCGCCCGTGGACACCGGCAACACCAAAGGAGTTGAAAGCATTGGGCGCCCGGTAACCTACTACTAATACTAAAATAATAAAACAGTATATGCAATAAAAAAAAATAGCTTTAGAAATATACCAACACATTGTTTTAATATATGTATTTGTATTTTACTTTTGGTCATCGTAATGGTTCGAAGATTAAGGTGCTCGCTTGTCAATTATAAGGGTCCTGTCTCTCGTATCGAAACCTAGCTATCACAAGACTTATGATTATTTCAATGCGACTGCCGGGCAAGGGGTCTCAGATTCGATTCCCGGAACGGGCAAAGTATTACTGGGTTTTTAAAAATCTCAGTAGTAGCACGGAGTCTGTAAATATGCCCAGTATATGGCAATAGGCTCACTTTTTATTACATGGGACTCATAACATATCTAAATAGTGAAAAGTGGGTGTTACATTTAAGTGTCATAATATGCAGCTCTGCTTACACCTTCTGGGAGAAAAAAGCATGTTGGTATATTATGTTATGTGATTTATAATATAGTACTTAATTTGTGTAAGTACTTATATTTTATATCTAAGAATAGAAATCATCAAATGTAAGGACATAGAGTAATGTTATTTTGGCCAACAAAGACAAACTAGCCTATGCTCACCCCCTATTACATGGGACTCATAACATATGTAAATAGTGAAAAGTAGGTGTTACATTGTGCAGTAAGTGCCGTAATGTACACCTCTGCCTACCGGGGATAAAAGGCGTGATGTTATGATATGTTAGTTAGACATCACTAATATTTTAGATTTCTTATTTAGAATTTAACATTCAATTATAAGTTTAAAATTGTCTGATTTCGTCCATTGCTGGACATTGGACATTCTAATAGCACGCCACGGGGTTCCTGTTATCCAACTACTGCCAGTCACTTTGTAGATGTCGCCAATCAACGTAGCTGGAAGGCGACCTAAATTAGGTTTTTTAAGGGGTGAAAATCATCGAATGATTGCTCCCGCCTGGATAAGGCGGGAGGGAGTTTCAGACTCTTACTGACTAAAACCCAACGGGGTGGTTTTTAGTTTTTCCTTCTCCTGCACGTCGAGCCGGAGCCCCGGTAACCCGTTAGGTTTTCCGCGATACCTAAATTACGTTTACTGTAGTGTCTAACACTTTTTCTTTATCGAATTGACGCTCTATCGAACTGATATATACCTATAATGTACTAAAGATTTCGTCCTAAATGTACGCATTATACACAACAAATTTCGAAATTTCGACCTTAGAAATTCGTCAAAAAAATCATAAAAATTTAGTTTAACATAACTTTGGATTATAATCTTGATTTTAGATAAGTCTTCAAAATCCTAAAACATTATTTCTTAGTGTTCACTCTTAAATAAAGAAAGCATATTCCTTCTCTGCAAAAGATTCAATGCAAAGGCTCAAGTGAAAAGAAACATCATCGAAAATAAATATCATGGTTTTATTATGTACTATTAAATAAGTTTATTATAAAAAACATTAACATGTGTGAGTAAATTTATATTTCGTACAGTTTACTTTTATTGAAACATTACAAAAATCACGAATCAATTTATACATTAAACTAAACGCTTTGACAACAGTAATGATCACGGCACGTAAGTCATAGGTACGTCAGTTATTAATTATCTTCGTTATTGAAGTTTTATTGAAACAAATTTAAATAAATACAACATACATACATCTTTTTTCGTTTTTAAATAACACATTAGACCGCATATTGACATTAAAATATAAATGATGTGCCGAGATTTATTCTATTTGAACAGTTTTAATTAACTCAAGTAAATATACTGCGAAAAGGTCTATTAGGATCAAGTCCGTACTTTTTAGTTACTTCTGTATGTCTCACGATAGTTATTATAAAAATGATTACACATTATTAACTATTATTTACTATACAAATATAAGTTCCTCACAATTATTGACGCATGTCATAAAACAGTTATTTTTTTATCAAAAAATGTTACATAAATACGTTATTTTAACCTAGAAGGGGCATCCCTGATAAGAAACTGCAACATTTATATTTTTTACAAATACAATGTTTGTGGCACTCTAATTTGAATTTTTTGTGATCGTGTTGGATTAATGTATTTTGTAAACTGTGTATTTTTTTCTTTTATGAGAGGTCCTCAAACGCGTACGTATTTCGGATACAAATGATTACACATAATTGTATGAATTTGCTTTCGCTAGACTGTTAGCATGTCCCCAACCATTATTTGCTACGGAATTGGCATTGGCTAGACTGTTGGCATGTCCCCAACCGTTTACTCCTGATTCAGCGTTTGACTGACTGATAGCTGATCCCCAACCATTATTTGCTATGGAATTTGCATTTGCTAAACTGTTGGCATGTCCCCAACCATTTAGTATTGGTTCAGCGTTTGACTGACTGATAGCTGATCCCCAGCCATTATATGCTACGGAATTGGCATTTGCTAGACTGTTGGCATGTCCCCAACCATTTACTCTTGATTGAACGTTTGACTGACTGATAGGTGATCCCCAGCCATTATTTGCTATGGAATTGGCATTCGCTAGACTGTTGGCATGTCCACCCCAACCGTTTACTCCTGAGTCAGTGTTTAACTGACTGATTGCTGATCCCCAACCATTATTCGCTACGGAATTGGCATTTGCTAGACTGTTGGCATGTCCCCAACCGTTTACTGCCGATTCAGCGTTTGACTGACTGATTGCTGATCCCCAACCATTATTCGCTACGGAATTGGCATTTGCTAGACTGTTCGCATGTCCCCAACCGTTTACTCCTGAGTCAGTGTTTGACTGACTGATTGCTGATCCCCAACCATTATTCACTACGGAATTGGCATTTGCTAGACTGTTGGCATGTCCCCAACCGTTTACTGCTGATTCAGCGTTTGACTGACTGATTGCTGTTCCCCAACCATTATTCGCTACGGAATTGGCATTTGCTAGACTGTTCGCATGTCCCCAACCGTTTACTGCTGATTCAGCGTTTGACTGACTGATAGCTGATCCCCAACCATTATTTGCTATGGGATTAGCATGGTCATCAAGTTTCCAATTATTTATCGTGGAATAAGTATTTGGGTAACTGTAAGTTGGGGGAGCCCATCCATTTATGTAAGAATCTGCATTTGAATGGCTATCACCATGTCCTCCCCAACCACTAGTATGAGAATCGGCATTTGCATAGCTACCGTCGTATCCTCCCCAACCATTTGTGGAAGGTTCAGCTAACGCATGACTATTACTTTGTCCCCAACCATTCGCTGAGGCATCAGCAATTGACTGACTGTTAGCGTGTCCCCAACCATTTGCTGAGGCATCCGCAATTGATTGACTGTTAGCGTGACCCCAACCATTCGCTGATGCATCAGCAATTGATTGACTGTTAGCCTGTCCCCAACCATTCGCTGATGCATCACCAATTGATTGACTGTTAGCCTGTCCCCAACCATTCGCTGATGCATCAGCAATTGACTGACTGTTAGCGTGTCCCCAACCATTTGCTGAGGCATCCGCAATTGATTGACTGTTAGCGTAACCCCAACCATTCGCTGAAGCATCAGCAATTGATTGACTATTAGCGTGTCCCCAACCATTCGCTGAAGAATCCGCAATTGATTGACTATTAGCCTGACCCCAACCATTCGCTGATGCATCAGCAATTGATGGACTGTTAGCCTGTCCCCAACCATTCGCTGAAGCATCAGCAATTGATTGACTATTAGCCTGTCCCCAACCATTCGCTGAAGCATCAGCAATTGATTGACTATTAGCGTGTCCCCAACCATTCGCTGAAGAATCAGCATTTGATTGACTATTAGCGTGTCCCCAACCATTCGCTGAAGAATCAGCAATTGATTGACTATTAGCCTGTCCCCAACCATTCGCTGAAGCATCAGCAATTGATTGACTATTAGCATGTCCCCAACCATTCGCTGAAGAATCAGCAATTGATTGACTATTAGCGTGTCCCCAACCATTCGCTGAAGAATCAGCAATTGATTGACTATTAGCCTGTCCCCAACCATTTGCTGATGCATCAGCAATTGATTGACTGTTAGCCTGTCCCCAACCATTCGCTGAAGCATCAGCAATTGATTGACTGTTAGCCTGTCCCCAACCATTCGCTGAAGCATCAGCAATTGATTGACTATTAGCCTGTCCCCAACCATTCGCTGAAGCATCAGCAATTGATTGACTATTAGCGTGTCCCCAACCATTCGCTGAAGAATCAGCATTTGATTGACTATTAGCGTGTCCCCAACCATTCGCTGAAGAATCAGCAATAGATTGACTATTAGCGTGTCCCCAACCATTCGCTGAAGAATCAGCAATTGATTGACTATTAGCGTGTCCCCAACCATTCGCTGAAGAATCAGCAATTGATTGACTATTAGCCTGTCCCCAACCATTCGCTGAAGCATCAGCAATTGATTGACTATTAGCATGTCCCCAACCATTCGCTGAAGAATCAGCAATTGATTGACTATTAGCGTGTCCCCAACCATTCGCTGAAGAATCAGCAATTGATTGACTATTAGCCTGTCCCCAACCATTCGCTGAAGCATCAGCAATTGATTGACTGTTAGCGTGTCCCCAACCATTCGCTGAAGAATCAGCAATTGATTGACTATTAGCGTGTCCCCAACCATTCGCGGAAGCATCAGCATTAGCTTCACTATAAGCCTGATCGTCAAAACGATTAGATAACTGATCATATTTTGGGTGGCTGCTAATGTATCTCAACCTATTCACTGAAGAATCAGAAATTGATTGACTATTGGCCTGTCCCCAACCATTTATTACAGAGTTTGCATTTGTCTGGCCTTGTGCGTATCCCCAACCATTTACTAAAGCATCAGCATTTGATTGACTATTAGCCTGTCCCCAACCATTTGCTGAGGCATCTGCAATTGATTGACTGTTAGCGTGTCCCCAACCATTCGCTGAAGAATCAGCGCTTGATTGACTATTAGCCTGTCCCCAACCATTTACTAAGGCATCAGCACTTGATTGACTATTAGCCTGTCCCCAACCTTTCACTAAGGCGTCAGCATTTGATTGACTATTAGCCAGTCCCCAACCATTCGCTGAGGAATCAGCAACTGATTGACTGTTAGCCTGTCCCCAAGCATTAACTAAAGCGTCAGCGGTTGAATGACTATTAGCCTGTCCCCAACCATTCACTAAGGCGTCAGCGTTTGATTGACTATTAGCCTGTCCCCAACCATTCGCTGAAGAATCAGCAAATGATTGGCTTTTAGCCTGTCCCCAAGAATTCACTAAAGCGTCAGCAGTTGCTTGACTATTGGCCTGTCCCCAACCATTCGCCGAGGCGTCAGCGCTTGATTGACTATTACCTTGTCCCCAACCATTCACTAAGGCGTCAGCGCTTGATTGACTATTAGCCTGTCCCCAACCATTCACTGAGACGTCAGCGCTTGATTGACTATTACCCTGTCCCCAACCATTCACTAAGGCGTCAGCGGTTGATTGACTGTTAGCCTGTCCCCAACCATTCACTGAGGCATCAGTATTTGAATAACTGTTAGCGTGCCCCCAACCATTCGCTGAGGAATCAGCAATTGATTGACTGTTAGCGTGTCCCCAACCATTTACTAAGGCATCAGCACTTGATTGACTATTACCCTGTCCCCAATCATTCACTAAGGCGTCAGCGCTTGATTGACTATTAGCCTGTCCCCAACCATTTGCTGAGGCATCTGCAATTGATTGACTGTTAGCGTGTCCCCAACCATTCGCTGAAGAATCAGCGCTTGATTGACTATTAGCCTGTCCCCAACCATTCGCCGAGACGTCAGCGCTTGATTGACTATTACCCTGTCCCCAACCATTCACTAAGGCGTCAGCGGTTGATTGACTGTTAGCCTGTCCCCAACCATTCGCTGAAGCATCAGTTTTAGAATGACTGTTAGCGTGCCCCCAACCATTCGCTGAAGCATCAGCTTTTGATTGACTGTTAGCGTGTCCCCAACCATTCGCCGAGACGTCAGCGCTTGATTGACTATTACCCTGTCCCCAACCATTCACTAAGGCGTCAGCGGTTGATTGACTGTTAGCCTGTCCCCAACCATTCGCTGAAGCATCAGTTTTAGAATGACTGTTAGCGTGCCCCCAACCATTCGCTGAAGCATCAGCTTTTGATTGACTGTTAGCGTGTCCCCAACCATTCGCCGAGACGTCAGCGCTTGATTGACTATTACCCTGTCCCCAACCATTCACTAAGGCGTCAGCGGTTGATTGACTGTTAGCCTGTCCCCAACCATTCGCTGAAGCATCAGTTTTAGAATGACTGTTAGCGTGCCCCCAACCATTCGCTGAAGCATCAGTTTTAGAATGACTGTTAGCGTGTCCCCAACCATTCGCTGAAGCATCAGCTTTTGATTGACTGTTAGCGTGTCCCCAACCATTCGCTAAGGCGTCAGCATTTGATTGACTATTAGCCTGTCCCCAACCATTCGCTGAGGAATCAGCATTAGAATGACTGTTAGCGTGTCCCCAACCATTCGCTGAAGAATCAGCAATTGATTGACTATTAGCGTGTCCCCAACCATTCGCTGAAGCATCAGCAATTGATTGACTATTAGCGTGTCCCCAACCATTCGCTGAAGAATCAGCAATTGATTGACTATTAGCATGTCCCCAACCATTCGCTGAAGAATCAGCAATTGATTGACTATTAGCGTGTCCCCAACCATTCGCTGAAGAATCAGCAATTGATTGACTATTAGCCTGTCCCCAACCATTCGCTGAAGCATCAGCAATTGATTGACTATTACCCTGTCCCCAACCATTCACTAAGGCGTCAGCGCTTGATTGACTATTAGCCTGTCCCCAGCCATTTGCCGAGGCGTCAGCGCTTGATTGACTATTACCCTGTCCCCAACCATTCGCTAAGGAATCAGCAATTGATTGACTATTAGCCTGTCCCCAACCATTCGCTGAAGAATCAGCAATTGATTGACTATTAGCCTGTCCCCAACCATTCACTAAGGCGTCAGCGCTTGATTGACTATTAGCCTGTCCCCAACTATTCACTAAGGAATCAGCACTTGATTGACTATTAGCCTGTCCCCAACCATTAACTCCAGTTTCCACATTAGCAACACTGTGAGCCTTTCCCCAACCATTCACTTCAGAGTTTGCATTCGCATGACTATTAGGCGATCCCCGATTACTCACAGCTAATTCTACAACATCAGAACGGTCGACACCTGATAATAATTCTGAACGTTTTACTGATTCATCGTTTGCAAATCTGGTAGACAGTCCCAAATCCGCGGCGTCGATAACTGATTGTGCTCTTGACAGTACAGAATCATTTGGATGTCTGTTTTTCGGTGGCAGAATTGCTCCAGAGGCAACATCATCCAACACGCTGATGTCCGAAGTCAAAGCTTTCACTTCAGTTTTTGCATGATCTTTGTTTAGATCTAATCTTTGTTCAGTTTCTAGGGTTTTAAGGGATGAAAGATCGTCATCTAATGAGTCACTGCGTCTATTATAATAGTTTCGATAATTATTTTCATAATTTTGATTGCCTTGTGCTTTTGGTGTGGCATTTACTTGGCTTATAACAATCAGGCTGAAGAGGAACACCTGTAATAAAAATGTTATTGAAATTTTTTGAACCTGGGTCGTTGAAAAGAATCGGAAAATTAAACTGTACACCAAAAATGTAAACAAACAAAGAAAATCATTTCAAAACAAATTTTAATAAAATACCTTAAGCCAAAAAGAGCATAGTTATGGAATACTAGCTTCTACCCGCGACTTCGTACGCGTAATCCCATTTTTTCCCGTCCCCGTTCGTGATTTTCGGTAAAAAGTAAAAAAAAGTATTAGTTTAAAATTAGCCTATATAAATATCCTATGTCGGTCTCCTGGCTCTAAGCTACCTCCCTACCAATTTTCAACCAAATCTATTCTGCCGTTCTTGAGTTATAAGTGGTGTAACTAACACGACTTTCTTTTATATATATAGATTAACATAACAAAGTTACAATCCAAAAATAAGCCTACTGATAAAATCGTCTCCATCTTATAATACATCGTGTTGACCCGAACGTACGAAGGCGCATGGCGTTCCGCGCGCACCTCAAAGAGCCTTTCCCCAACATCACATCACCACGGATGGGGCCCAATAGGGCTAATTGCGATACGGAGCCGCGGACAACTTAACGGGTTGCCGGGGCTCCGGCTCAAAGGGCAGAAGTAAGCATGGGGTGGTTTTAGTCAGTTAGTCAGTAAGAGTCTGACACTCTTCCGCCTCATCCAGGTGGGGAGAAGTCATTCAATGATGGACCCCTTAAAAAAATTGCTTGTAGTGCTATCGTGACAGCCTAATGAAATATGATCCTTATTCTATCTACTTTTTAAAACTACTACTAATTTGACTCCTACAATGAACTTTGTAAAAAGATATTTCAATCACTTTTTCTTCACATTATGAAACAACAAAGGTATACCAACTAACAGATCCGAGTACCAATACAGACCTTTAAATTATATTGGATAAAATATCAAAATATAAATACGATACTACCGCGTCTGGTATTTGACACTAAACACACCCCTTGAAATAAACAAAAAGATAAGTAAAGCACGTATCTGGATAAAGCACAAGAAATATTTCGAAATTTTTATTCACATCACAAGCATCAAGCATCAAGGTAACCAATTAATTCTGTATTTGAACTGACAAATAACATAATGGGGGAAGAGTTCTAGATATATCTGTTTGTCACAGGAAAAAACAAAAATTGTACTACAGTTCTGTTATATACTAGACTTTTTACATTATTGTAGTATTTTTCACTTACCAAGAAATATATTTTCATAATTATTTGTTCCGAGTTCTTCAGCGTGACTTAAACATACAAATAAGGCAGTGCACTAAAACTAACTAGCCTGCTCAGGGTGGCAGTCTAGCCCATATAAAAGGTAGAAATAAATGGCGATTAGTCACACTCTCTCTTAACACGGTACTACCTAATTTATTAAACGATAAGCACTGATTTTCCATATGTTTTCTTTCAACTTTTTTATATTCAATACAATACAATGTTAAACTAGAAGATAATCTTTTCTACAATATATTATTCAACCCGTCTTAGATTTCTATTACCTATGTAAAATGCACTTTATTATATTCATTTTACAGTTTGGTTTAGGTTGACCAATTTTTCTTGCTCTAAACCCGAGACTGTAATCGATTTTTAAGTCAAGCAATTGATTTCACACATGTGTTATTTATTTTATATGACATCTAGAAACTGTAATCGGGTTTGGTGAGTCTTCCACTATTTCTCTGTAGAGAGCTGCCCACGAAGAGAAACAAATTTCACAGCTTTAGTATTTAAATAGCCAAAATATACCAAAATGTTTACAATATGTTTGTAATACGGGTTTTACGGATAATAAGGCATATACAAGTTGATTGATGTATGTTCATATGCGTTTAACTACACAAGTTGTTTAAAGTATGTGTTGCAGCTAATAACGTAGGACAAAAATATAAAACAGTGGTGTACGAAAACCAACTGTCAAGCATGACGTTCTGTGCGTACTCCCAAACCGTACTTAATATGGAACCTGAAATTCGAGGCCACTGAGGTAGACCGATGTTAAATCCTTGTGCATATGTAAGCGGCGGCCTGGCACAAATGCAGGACAGAGTACTTCCGGAGCTACGGACAACCTAATGAGTTACCGGAGTACCGGCTCGATGCAGGAGTAGGAACAAAGTGTTATTTAGTCAATAAGAGTCTTAACTCGCCTCACCCAGGCGGGAGAAGCCATTGGATGATTTATTTATTTATTTAATAAACAGCACAGAGGATAACACATATATAAAATAAGAGTACAAAGGTGCTACTTATTCCTGTTGGAATTTCTTCCAGTAGACCTGAGACAGGAAATGTAATTAAAACAAAAGACACAGTGTGTAACAGAAAAATAAGAAATATGTATAAAAAAAACTAAAGCCAAATAATAACTATATTATAAATAAATATAGTATAAATATAAATACTTATTATATAATAATAACAATAAATAAAATACACATATAGAAAAAAACACATATCAGTACTCATGAAGAAAGGTAATGGTCCTTAATTCGTTTTTTAAAGAGAGCGATAGATTTAGCGTCTCGAATGTTAGGCGGCAGAGAATTCCACAGTCTCACAGCATAAACGGTGAAGAAATAGGAGAAGAAGTCGGTTAAGAAGTCAGTGGTAATGATTTTTCCATTCAAAAAATAAATAAAGTATAGAGTGTCTGGCGCAAGTATTTCACCTACAGGTTAAAGTTAGCTATATTTCGTGTAGGATCGGCATGGGATGGCAGCTGGCTACCAAGTCACTTTACAGTAATGCTATCTAAGGAGCACAAATACGGTAGTATTGATTTTTGTATTAGTGCTTGTTTGCTGCAACTCTGCTAATTGTTACGTGAATTTTTGAAGTCGACTGATATGATTCGGTTCTTTTATATAACTAAAGTAAGTCATTACTTTGGGGACTCTTAAGCTGTCTCTTAATTAAAAGCCACTTAGCGTGACGTAGCACCTAAACTAACCCCTTACATATACTGTTAAGTGTCGCTTAAGTGTTGGTGAAAACAAAAATGACGTTGTGTTATCAATCTTAGCTTTCTTTTTAGGAGGCAGTATCAGACTCTTGCTGACTAAAACCACCCCGTTTCTACTCCTGCACTTCGAGCCCCTATTACCTGTTAAGTAGAGATATTTTTAAATTTAGGAGAGTAGTGATAATGGACGTAAGTATATTAAGCAAAAACCTAAAACTGCAAGCACTATGTTGTTATATTATTGTAACTACATTTCCTATAAGAGTGATTTATCGGTGAAAAATTATTATAAACATAACATCACACCTTTTATCCCCGAAGGGGTAGGCACATTATGCCACTGTACTAACACCCACTTTTCACTATTTATGTTATGAGTCCCATGTAATAGGGGGTGAGCCTATTGCAATATACCGGGCACAATTCCAGACTCCGTGCTACTACTGAGAATTTTTCCTAATAATTTGCCCGACCCGGGAATAGAACCCGAGACCCCTAGGTCGGCAGTCGCACTTGCGACCACTCGGCCAACGAGGCAGTTTAGGTAATTTGTCGGTGAAAATTTATTATATAATAGTTATAACATGGAGCAGTATGCCAACGTTTTGTAAAAAGAAAAAAAAAATATACGCCTTTCCATACTATTGCAAAAACACAGTGGTAGAGAGATAAATGTATAATATGAACTTATACAAAGTTAAAACCAACTTTTCACCTGTTATGTCATTACATTCTTGTGATTAAACTGAACTTCTGCGCCGTTCCACCCACTGCTTGTCTCCACCCGCGGCTTGGATCCTCTTAGTCATAGCATGAGGGTTTATTACCTATTTAACTTTTCTCGATAAATGGACAAACAACAACAACAAACTTTCGTATTTATAATACTAGTAAGATTGCTGCCTATTTATTTGTGCTTTGTCTCTCTAATTGTGTATTGAAATAAATGTTATTCTTTGTTTCTTTCTTATTTCTTGTCTAGGTTACTTGCTTTGCTTCCTAATACATATAATATTTATTCGTATTACATACGCAGCCCAGTTCATATATCTAATAACTAGTGTTAGGGTTTATTAATATCATGGTTTAATTTAATTTAATTATTTATTTTTTATTTTTATTGTGTAATAGACTAAACCTCTTTGTGATTGACCATAAACAAACATCTATATATATATAGAGGTATATAACAAAAGACCTGTTTGTTCCAACACTTATAACTCGAGATTGGTTAGACCAAATTTCGTGGTTTTTAGTTCGTTGGATTTGTCCCAGTCCAGATTAGCAGAATATTATATCTTAAAAATAATGAATACTCGACGAGATCATAATTATAAAAGATGAATCATTTTCTCTTAATGTTACTAGCTTCTGCTCGTGGTTTCGCTCGCGCTCTTTTAAAGTATTGAGGGCAGGTTTACAAAAGATAAAAAAATTTGGTGACCGATGTTTTGTTGGTCAAAAATGTGATACCAATTTTAGGTTTCTTGAAAATTACGTAATTCTCCTAACAAACTTCCACCCCCTGTTTTAGGGAAGTGGTGGGTTAGAAAGAAACAAAATGTAGCATAGGCTTTCAATCCCTTCAAATCCCTTTCACTCAATAAAAAAATGACGTTAATTTCTAACAAAACAAACAGACACGCACAAATTTATAATATTGAATACACAGTTCTATGTTATTTGACATTTTGACAAGTAATTTTCATGCCAATGGAAGATTGACAATTTATTTTTTTTATTGTCATGATAAAACATTAAGGTATGCAAAGAGGCTGAATACTAATATTATTAACCTATTTGATTGAAATACGGTTCAACGAGAGTTTGAGACACTTGCTCTGGAAAGGACGTATGATTGTTCTATTCAGGAAATTCCACATGACAGGAACTGCGTTAATCTTCTGGGTGTCCCTATTATTTAAGCCATTGAACTTATTTGAGTGGAATTCGGTACAACGACGCGACAATAGTTTGAGACTCGGAAAATGACGCCTGAGAATTTTCAACCATTGTACCTATTTGATTGGAAATCAAATGGAGTTTTAATCACTGGAACCTCACGTGAATGGATACTATACGGATAAAATACCTGCGGAATGGTTTATTTTTTGAAATCACTAAAATGAACAACATTTTACAATAAATACAACTGAATCGATGCTAATGAGATTTGTTCCATACCATTGGAATTAACCTTGGAAAATACTAATTAAAAAAATCAAAATTTGCCAGAAGTCATTATTATACGCGGACGAAGTAGCGGGGAACAGCTAGTATAAAAATAAAACGGACTTGAATTCTCGAAATGTCAACTGGTGACTTCGAGAATGTAGGTTTGAAAAAAATAGAACGGACTTGAATTCGACGGCGGCGGTCAAAAAGGCGGGAAAACGAATGGGACTTTGAACGGATGGCGTGATTTCTGTTGGCAGGACTATTGACGAGAGGAAATGTAATATATTTTGTTTCTTTGTTATGAATGTGCTTTGGAAGAAAATAATATTCTATATTATCGATACCAAGTTGTTTCCTTTATAATCTCCCTTTCCTTCTTCTCCTCCTCCTTCATATCCTGCAAGTTGTTGATGCTACAGTGGAGTTGCGTTTATACTAGTAAACATAATTGACATTTTGAACATTGTCAAACTTCTAAAAGTAGGTACTTGAACAATAAATTCTTCTGAAAATTATTACTCGAAGAAAAATAGAGAGATAATTCCTGTATATCGGTATAAAGTCGTCTGAAAAACTTTTTCTTAATAAAACAACAATAATGGTGCAACTGGTTTCGATTGTTTATTTATTTTTATTTATACTGTCTGAACAAAATATTTTTACTATAATAATTTTAATGACTTTATTTTACTGGCCTACTGCTTTTACTATAGTCGCGATTTGTATTGTAGTGCTATATTACACAAAACTTGAATAAGCAGCTGCTTCGGCACCAGCGTAGCTCGAAGATAAACTGGAAGCTGTAGCTCCACCAAAACTAGTGACACCACCTCCAACAAAACTAGAACTGCCAGCACCGCCACCATATCCACCAGCCCCAGCAAGTCCACTACCATAACCAACAGCATTTCCCTCACCATAGGCCCCAGCACCTCCACTACCATAACCAACAGCATTTCCCCCACCATAGGCCCCAGCACCTCCACTACCATAAGCGCCAGCACCTCCACCGCCATAGGCGCCAGCACCTCCACCGCCATAAGCGCCAGCACCTCCACCGCCATAGGCGCCAGCACCTCCACCGCCATAAGCACCAGCAGTTCCGCCGCCATAGGCACCCGCACCACCACCGCCATAGGCACCTGCACCACCACCGCCATAGGCACCTGCACCACCACCGCCATAGGCACCAGCACCACCACCGCCATAGGCACCTCCACCACCACCGCCATAGGCACCTGCACCACCACCGCCATAGGCACCTGCACCACCACCGCCATAGGCACTAGCACCACCACCGCCATAGGCAACTGCACCACCACCGCCATAGGCACCTGCACCACCACCGCCATAGGCACCTGCACCACCACCGCCATAGGCACTAGCACCACCACCGCCATAGGCAACTGCACCACCACCGCCATAGGCACCTGCACCACCACCGCCATAGGCACCGGCACCACCACCGCCATAGGCCCCAGCACCACCACCGCCATAGGCACCTGCACTTCCACCGCCATAGGCACCTGCACTTCCACCGCCATAGGCACCTGCACTTCCGCCGCCATATGCACCTGCACTTCCACCTCCATAGGCACCAGCACCTCCGCCTCCATGGGCGGGTGCATAGGCTACATCACCTCTAACTGAGTCCCCTCCAGTTGCCCCCGCTACTCCTCCTCCATTGCCATAGCCTATTGCTTCCCCATAACTAACTGCACCACTGCTAGCGTAGCTACCAGCCCCAGCATTAGCGTAGCTTGATCTAGGCGAATAATTTGCATCAGAGTAGTTATTATCCACATCTAAGTCGTCTGTTTCATGTCTGCTAGGAGATGCCACACCGATTCGACATATGGTTGCGAAAAAGATAAATAAAAACTGAAACAAAACGTAAAAATCACTAGTTAGCCAAGCAGTTAATACAAGAAATGTAAAAAATGTTACTACTTGTATGTAAATAATTGTTTATTATTATTATTATTTAATTACGCATTTAACAGAATGTGCCTTCTTTTCTTTGAAACTACTTCTATTTTTTTCCGACTTCAAAAATAAGAAAAGGTAGGTACTATGTTCGTTGATTGTTTTTCTTTTATTAAACAGCTTCAAAGCTGTTATTCCACTCACCCACTTCAGATCTGTTTTTCTTTACATAATACCAAGTTCAATTAAAGGAAGAAAAAGACATTTATATCACACGCTACAAACAAGTGACATTTACAGATTATAGAGGTATACATTGGATTATGAGTACTTATGGGTTCATGGTTCAGCATCTACAAGACAGGCGGGCTTGTGCTGGTATTTTACTGACCCCTTAAGTATAAAGTAGTCGTTACTACAACAAAGGTAATAATTAGATTCATCTGACCTTGTGCTCTAAGGATTATTAACTCCTTTGTCTCATAGGTAGGCAGAAACTAATTCCAATACTAATCTTATTTTCGTCTACTCCTTCATTATGTCCAAACGATTTTAGAACCATACCCTTTTAAATGTTTCTGTTTACACTATTTCTTTTACACGGCACTATTTTCTTCATTTCTTCTGCCTCATCACCATAAATAATTTTGGCCAATATTAAAGATATTTATACAAATTCAAACAGAGAGAGAGTTCATAGCTCACCTGGTCACGGATTTTCATTGTAATTTTTTAAACGCGTCCAGCTGCAGTATGGCGGAAGCAAATGAGACTGGCCAATTTCAGTACAACATGAGCAAATATAAATACCAGAAATTAATTGCTTCTTGTCCTGTCATTTTAAAAACATTACAAAATTTACAAGTGATAAAAACTGATTACTTTTGATAACAATAGTTAGTTTTGTGTTTAAAGTGAACATACACAGCATCAATTATATGGAAATATTTCCTTAATTTTTCTTGTGAATTTATTAACTTTTACGTGAAATAATAAGAATTTTCCTGTGCAAAGAACAGATAAATAACACGATACACCAATCTAATGTACCTACCAAAACACCAATAGTCAACGCAAATTAAGTCATTCATGAACAAACTTGGCGATATGTTGTGTACCAGAACCACTTGGAACAGGTTGTACACCTGTCTCAAGTGGTTATTTTATTGTCTGCACACCCTATTACCATTAATAATATCGTTCATGAGATTTTACAATAATTGGCTAATCTTTTTACTTACCATGTACTGAATTCTTTGCAGTGTTTTCTCATTGACCACATATTTTATAGTATAAAAGATTGACTACATAAGAGGAAGCCCTGTACAAATAACTACAAGTAAATAGTAAATGTGGGAAAGCCATGCTTCGGCACGAATGGGCCGGCTCGACCGTGAGTGATACCACGGCGTCACAGAAAACAGACGTGAAACAATGCTTGCGTTGTGTTTCGTCGTATTAGTGAGGTTACCGGAAGCCCAATTACCCCCCACCCTTCCCCAATCCCTGAATCCCCAACAATTCTCAAATTTCTAATCCCAAAAGGCCGGTAACGCACTTGCAACGGCTCTGGTGTTCCAGGTGTACATGGGCGACGCCGATTGCTACGGTAAGCACCATTGGGTAACCAATCGACGGCAAAGGTCCGTCTACTCGTTTGCCGGCTTACTTATACCATAAAAAAATATATATGTAATACATTAATTAACCTCATAATTATTTTTATGATCGTTTTTTTGAACACCATGCACGATGCACAAGAATAATGCACCATCCTACTAATATTATAAATGCGTAAGTTTGTATGTTTATTTGTTACTTCTTCCCATCAAAATAGTTGAAGGGATCAGGATGAAATTTGAAACAGAGATAGATTATGGTCTGGAACAACATAATAATTTTATCCCACGAAAACGCTAGCATAAGCTAATGCTTGTATAGAAACAGCTCATAACTTTTGCACTATTGAAAATAGCAACAAAATACTCAGAGATAATTTTTTTTTTTTTAAACGTTGCCCCACACTAGGATTTTCTCCTGTGTAACATATAAGTTCACATACACAATGACACCCAGACCCGAAACAACAATTTATGGATCACACAAAGTGTTGTTTCGTGCGGGAATCAAACCCGCGACACGTTGCACGGCAGCCGGTTGCCCAGCCACCGCACCAACCGTGCAGTCGAACTGTTTACAAATTTGATCTTAATTTGTAAACAGATTGTGAAATAGAAAGCGTTAATTTTACGTAATTGTTTTTCTTAAATAATTTTATTTTAATATTGGTACTATTAAAACAAAACTAAATATTATACTCGATCTACATTATTTTAAATAGTTATTGTGATAAACTAAACTCGAAAACGATCTCAATCCAGTAGTAATTCGTTAACAAGACAAGGGCGCGTTGAGTCGAGACGCGCGCTCAATGTGGTTGTTGCCCAATGTGTGTAAAATCTATCAAAAACCTCATTATATTGCTTAAGCCTTTGACTGCCAATAGAAAACTATTTTTAAGGACTAATAATAGTAGATAGTTTCTTCAAAATCAAGAATTTTAAATATAAAATATGAGTTCAATTAACTGAATACATTTCAATCTTAGACTAGCTTCGGCCTACAGTTTCGCTAGTGCTCTTTTAAAGTATCGAGGGCAAGCTAACAAAAGATAAACAAGAATTGGTGCCCGATGTTTTGCTGGTAACAAATATTGTACTTATTTTAGGTTTTTTGACAATTACGAAATGCTTCTTACTAACTTCCACCTCCTGTTTTAGGTAAGTGGTGAGTTAGAAAGAAACAAAATTTAGCCTTTGCTACTTTCAATCCTTTCAACTATCTCCACTCAATAAAAAACGACGGGTACTAATTTTACACGAATTGCTTTAATTATCAGAATAAGAGTACTATCTTTTATTGCGCTATCGTACACAAACATGACAATTTATAAAGTCAAAGTCAAAGCATTTATTTCAATTAAACCGTAATTTGAAACGTCAATAAATAATAGTCTGTCTGTCAGTCAGTCCGTCAGTGAAGTTAGGTGAAGCTAGGTGTTCATTCCAAAATGTAGATTCGAATGGAGAAGAACCAGCAAGAAACTCCATTCGTTACTCTTTTTAAAAAAGTATGTTCTACAATGTCTCTGATACATATTCCAATATTGGACGTATATGTGAAAACAATGCCAAGACACGCTTGACGCATTATAGGTAATAATTACAAACCTTACTAAAAAATTAAAAATCTTATAGTCTAACATGGTATATTACATTAAAAAGTTTATCCCTCAGCAAAATCCAACTTCCATCCATAATTTCGACGACTTATTTACTATCATTATTACCAGAACCATCATCACCAATCTCTAAAACTGATACGATCGGTGTATGATATGATAGCTGAAGTAAGAAACGACACAGTGTTGATTCGAACCTATTATTAAATGTAAAGACCACATCAATAACAGTTTTGTATTTTGTTGTGTTAAGATGACGATCATTTGACATAGTCAAACCAAATTCGTTATTTAAAAATTCAATTAAACACATAAACACACATGAACATTCGCGCGAGCGCCCTGCACCGCCTAAACGAAACAGCCGGCGCAGGCATACATTTTCGCCGCGCCGTAGAAAGAGAGGGGGATACTCCCCGTCCAACGCCACGCCAGCTGTCAATCCGTATTACGAATTTTCGATCAGTTCCCGTGTCTTGACGCGAGTTAAACATTTTTTACCCATTACAAAAAAAAGTGTACAACGCCGCTAAAGAAGTTTTCACTCCAATAAATCACGTCAATTTCTAACAAAACAAACAGAAAAAAAAATTTTGTAAATACGTACACATTTTTGTGTTATCTGACATATTTTTGACAAGTGAGTTCATTTCATTCATTTATTCGTTCATTTTTTGATCATTGAAGTCTTTTTTAGTTATCATGATATAATATTAAGTAAGGTATGCAAAGAGGCTGAGTACTAATTAATAATTATTAACCACTGAACCTTTTTGGTTGAAATTCGGTTCAATGAGAGATTGGGACACTGGGACTAGAAAGAACGTATGATTGTTCTATCCCAGAAATACCACGGGACAGCAACTGCGTTAAACTTCTGGCTCTTATAAACCGTTGAACTTATTTGAGTCGAATTCGGTACGACGATAGTTTGAGACTCGGAAAATAACAACTGAGAGTTTTCGACTGCTTTTGCCTATTGGATTGGAATTCAAATGGAGTTTTAATTATTGAAACCTCACGGGAATGAAATCGATTCTGGTGAGATTTGTTAAACACCATTGGAATTAATCTTGGAAAAGACTACTAAAAAATTCAAAATTTGCCAGAAATCATTACTTTAATTTTAAGTTGCAAATATTTAACCTCGTACATATATATATAAAACTGCAGTGTAAATAGTTTTTTTTTGTATATTTAGTGTTGTATATTCTCTTTAGTTGAACTATGTATGTAATACTAGTAAACCAGTTGTCCCAACTCCCAAATAAGTAATAATAAATTAATCAATAGGTACATGTAGGTTAAACAACGTAATTCATCCTATCATTAAGATATTATTTTTATTTGTGCAGTTAAATAAATAAATAAATGAAAGAAAATAAAAACACAAGTTTCATTTTTAATTTTCTATTTTTAACAGGGCATTTGGTTTGAGATCTTAGTCTATACAGATCGTCTCTTAACACTATTGATATTATAATTATTACTATACATAATATACATAAACGAGCATATATATTAATTAAACAAAAATAATATATATAACATCTTTATAATAGTTATGAAGTAGTACATATTACAATTTTACATCATACAAGAGTTAAACACATAAACTAGTTGAACTATAATATTATATAATAATAAAATAAATAATTGTTTTAAAAATAATAAGAAATATTTTTTCTATTATATATTGTACATATTTAATATGGATACATATTCATGCTAGTACCTATGGACTATAAACTGCAACCAATTTGACGATCTGTACGGGAAAATGGACATACATTTCACGCATGTCTAAATTATCAGTTCCTGTACAATACACATAAGATTATTTATAATGCTACACAAAACAACTTCAATGCATTTGCATGCATTCTTGCATATTCATATTTTCAAACAAAAATTGTGGTTGTTTCACCTAACGGGTGGTTATATTCTCCCAAAACTAAACTTGAGACAAGCCCATTTTACTATTCGTATTTTTCACATTATTTAAAACCATATGTGTAAGTATAGCCACCAGTACTGCCTGCTGCACCAGCTGCGCTACCCCCACCTAGATAACCTCCACCTCCAGCACCGGCTGCAGCTGCAGAGCCAGCGCCCCCTGCACCGTATATACCACCACCTCCTGCCCCGGCAGCAGCTGCAGAACTGGCGCCCGCTCCACCATACAAACCGCCACCTAAATAACCTCCACCTCCTGCCCCAGCAGCAGCTGCAGAACTAGCGCTTGCTCCACCATATAAACCCCCACTTAAGTAACCTCCACCTCCTGCCCCTGCAGCAGCTGCAGAACTAGCACCCGCTCCACCATAATATCCTCCACCTAAATAACCTCCCCCTCCTGCTCCTGCAGCAGCTGCAGAACTAGCGCCCGCTCCACCATATAAGCCCCCACCGATATAACCCCCACCTCCTGCCGCGACAGCAGCCGCAGCACTGGCGTCAACTCCACCATATAAGCCTCCACCTAAATAACCTCCACCTCCTGCCCCAGCAGCAGCCGCAGCACTAGCATCAGCTCCACCATAATAGCCCCCTCCCAAATAACCTCCACCTCCTGCAGCAGCAGCTGCTGCAGAACTAGCGCCCGCCGCTCCACCATATAAGCCACCACCTAAATAACCTCCACCTCCTGCCCCAGCAGCCGCAGCAGCACTGGCATCAGCTCCACCATAATATCCCCCTCCCAAATAACCTCCACCTCCTGCAGCAGCAGCTGCTGCAGAACTAGCGCCCGCCGTTCCACCATATAAGCCACCACCTAAATAACCTCCACCTCCTGCCCCAGCAGCCGCAGCAGCACTGGCATCAGCTCCACCATAATATCCCCCTCCCAAATAACCTCCACCTCCTGCAGCAGCAGCTGCTGCAGAACTAGCGCCCGCCGCTCCACCATATAAGCCACCACCTAAATAACCTCCACCTCCTGCCCCAGCAGCCGCAGCAGCACTGGCATCAGCTCCACCATAATATCCCCCTCCCAAATAACCTCCACCTCCTGCAGCAGCAGCTGCTGCAGAACTAGCGCCCGCCGCTCCACCATATAAGCCACCACCTAAATAACCTCCACCTCCTGCCCCAGCAGCCGCAGCAGCACTGGCATCAGCTCCACCATAATATCCCCCTCCCAAATAACCTCCACCTCCTGCAGCAGCAGCTGCTGCAGAACTAGCGCCCGCCACTCCACCATATAAGCCACCACCTAAATAACCTCCACCTCCTGCCCCAGCAGCCGCAGCAGCACTGGCATCAGCTCCACCATAATATCCCCCTCCCAAATAACCTCCACCTCCTGCAGCAGCAGCTGCTGCAGAACTAGCGCTTGCCGCTCCACCATATAAGCCACCACCTAAATAACCTCCACCGCCTGCCCCAGCAGCCGCAGCAGCACTGGCATCAGCTCCACCATAATAGCCCCCTCCCAAATAACCTCCACCTCCTGCACCAGCAGCAGCAGCAGCAGCTGCAGAACTAGCGCCCGCTCCACCATATAAGCTTCCACCCATATAACCACCTCCTCCTGCCGCGGCAGCAGCCGCAGCGCCAGCTCCTGCGTATGCATTACCACCATAATTGCCAATGCCATAAGCGCCAGCGCTCCCACCAGCTTCTACGCCCGCTTGTACTCCACCCTCGATTTCAGCTTGCATGCCACCAGTAATACTACTTTCAAATAATCCACCAATGGCGCCGGATATCATTCCGCCTATACCACCACTGGCAGTTGCTCCAGCGGTAGCTTCCACGCCAGCGTCAATACCAGCTTCAAATCCTCCTTCAATACCAGCTTGAATACCTCCGCCAATCCCTCCATAACCACCGGCAGCACCGCTTGCAGCAGCAGCTGCCGCGGCACTGGCACCAGATCCACCGTAGCCATACCGTAAAGCATTTTTACTCTTGTTATGATCAACTGTAGTTGTGTGATTAGATTTACTCTTGGACACGTCATCAGCTCGACATATTGTGACGATGATAGCAAAGAAGAACAACTGAAAAGAAAAACATCGCGTTGTTTTAAAACTCATTCGTTTGATTGTATTTGACCAGACCGGTTAACAATTTGTGTTATTTGTGTTTGTCACATAATTGTTTCATACAGAAATCGAACCCATAACGAGTTGTGCTCACAAATGTGACTATTTAACTCGTCGAGTACCGGATTTATAGACACAATTAAAGAACAATAGGTCGCGGTCACCGGTGACCGCTTGGTGTTTGACAGTTTAATTAAAAGTTTTGTAAAGAAATTTGGTAGTTCCCGAATTAAGGAAGTATTATTGAGATTGTCTGTTCATTTTTTATGTCAAAGCATGGAGAGTGAGTTTACGGCCAGTGTATAGCAATAATCTCACCAATTAATTTGTACATAGGATCCATAACAATTATTAAGTGAAAAGTGAATGTTGAAATTTTTAACGTGCGTTCTTTCGGGAACAAAATCAAATAAGTGTTGATGTGTTATTAATTATAAAATAAAATAATATCTTGACTGAATGACTGACATCATGATCATCGCCGAGCGCAAACTAACAGGGTTACAGAGATGAAACTCCAACTGTATAATTGTTAATTTTGTTATGTAGGCACTAATTAAGTAAGCATTTCAAAAAGTTTCATCCCTAAAAGATGAAAAAGGTTTTCTTATCTTTATCTTTATATATATAATTCTTTTGTGAGTGTGTATGTCACTGAACTTCTCTCAAACGACTGGACCGATTTTGATGAAATTTTTTGTGTGTGTTCAAGAGGATCTGGGAATGGTTTAGATTCACAAATCAGCCCGGCAGATGGCCCTGCAGTCGATGTTTAGGTTATTTATCCTAAACAGCTGAACTAATTTGAATGAATTTTTGTTTATACATTCAAGTGGATATGCAGGACAACGTTTGTTGGGTCCGCTTGTATTTCATATATTAAAGGAATATAGAAAATTTTGATTTATTTTGTAGTTTAAAAGTTTGGTTCATAAAGTCAACTTTAACTTGGACAAAACCGCGGGAAATAGCTAGTCTTCTATATATTGAAACTGTTGCGTTGACAGACAGACAATGCACATCCGAAACGAATAGTCGGAGATAGCTTAAATTTGGGTATGTGTGTTTGTTTGGGATGTAGGGTAGCACTAAGAGAATATTTTGCCCCCTTGGAGTGCATTGATATATATGTATATATATATTTATTATATCACTGAACTATTTAAATGTAATAAAAATTTGGTATACATCGTTTAAGAATGGAGTAAAGACAGAATAGTTGTTATCTCGAAAATCCCAAAGGAACAACTAATATGCGTTAAATTATCTATCTTTAAACTCTATCTTTCTCTATCTTTATCTTTTCTATCGTTCTTTGTCTTTAAAACTAATGTACCAATTTCATAAACATTTTAAGATTCCTTACAAAACGATGGTTTGAAATCCGATAAAAGATGTAGGATAGTTTTTATCACTGAAACCTCATGGGATCATGCACTGTACGGGTAAAATGTCTGTGAGATCGATATTTTTATAAACCACGAAAATAATTTCACAATAAACAACTTAGGTAAGTATTGAAGATTCTTATGATATTTACTACAGTCGTAGAATATACTTTGGTAGAGACTAAGTATAAAATCCAAATTCTACCAAAAGTCAAGAATCCACGTGGACTATTTCGCGGTTTGCCTACGAATATGTTTAAAATGCCAAAAAGTTGAAACATAAAATTGTTAAAATCAAAACAAACAAAACACTGGTTTATCTTATATTTCCATCCTATGGAATAGGAGTACAAAATGCAACGCTATTATTTCAACTAAAGAGTCTGAATTGCGTAACCTGTGATTTTATGTGAGTGCTCATTAATTGACCTTGCGACTTACCAGAGAAATATTTTTTCTCACTTGTTCTGCCATCGTGCCGAGCTTCAGTGCTCGTTCGTATGATGTGAGAAACCAAGACTGATCGACTTTAAAGGCGGCATTATACCGAATTTCAACGGTAGAACAAAATCGGCTTTGTCACGCAATACCGAGCAAATTATTAGTTAATTTACATCTGGTAGAAACTGATTAAGGAAATGTTTACCCTGAAACAAATTTAGTAATACATTACAAAATAAATGTGTGACAGAAATAAAAAGTTTTTTAAATATTCTCACTACATAATTTATTTAATTCATACTAACTTTTGACAGCGTCTTCACTCGTGTTTCCTGAAAATAAGTTACATTTCAACTATAAGTATGCTCATATTAAATAAACAGAATTAAACAGTATTCCAATTAAACTTTACAATATTAATTTAGAGGACCTTTCTATCTCAAAAATGATAGCGCAACTACGTTTAGCTTAAATAACTTTCAATTTATATTTTGTTCTTTTATTTCGATCTCAAAACACGTGTATGACTAAATGTTACTACATATCAGAAGGTGCCTAGTTGAATAGCCCAAGAACCATTCGCTTGATTCGATTTCTTACGTACAAGGCCGTCCACACACTTACATATAACATTACGGGAGTCCATGGGCATCTGCCCAGACTTGTTGCATAAAAATATACTATTTTTTCTCATATACATATAATGAGGCGTAGAACTTAATGTTTCAAAGATAATTTAACATACATAACAAACATAATTTAACATACATACATAACATAATTTAACATACATACATAACATAACAAGACGCCTGGTCGACGCATCTCGAGACCGAGAGAGAGACGAGAGGGCTGGTCTATTTCGCTGTCAGAGGTTAAGCATTGCCATACAACGTGGCAATACTTTACACTTTCCCAATTAACGTCGAGCACCTTAACCGCCGCGTAGGTCACTGGTGACCTACATTAGCGGACGATTTGCCTTCAATAGCTTTTTATCGGCAGTCAAAGGCTTAAGCAATAGTTAGTATTTATTTTATTTAAGTTTATATCTTAAATAAGATAAATATGTACTAACTATTATTTTCTTTTGCCAGATCGACAACTTTGACGTTGTGGACATAAACATAAGTAATGATTACTTTTTATATGTATGTATATTTAACATTTTTTTTTTAATTTGTTCGTTTATCTAATTTGTTTATAGCAATGTTACTACTTCAATATTTACATTGTAAATGTAATTGTAATTTGTAGTTATTGTTAAGTTATTTTTGTCGATTACTGTATGCATATTTGTTACATTTCTAAACATGAATTTTATAATGAATATTGTTAATATGTGTTGCGTGTTGTGTAAAAAGTAAGTATAAATATGGATTTCTCTTTATTTTTCTCTTTATACTACAACTTTTAAAGTAACTAATTTACTAGAATAGGAACATCGTTATTACAGTTGAGAATTCAAAAAAAGAATGTCGTTAAAAAACAACACTTTGCCTTATTCACAATTAATGGAGAAATTATAATAATTGCTTATAACTAAGTTTTTTCTTAAGTAGGTATCAGCTACTCCATAATCCATCCATCCATCCATCACTTACACATGTCTATCCTTAGAAAAAAAAGATAGTTTCATAGTACTTTATGTTTTTATTATCATCAGCTCCCTTGGATACTTCGCATAAATTACCAGGAGCATATAACTAGCTGAAGTTACGAAGTATCTAAGTTAGGGATCTCCTGCACGTAAGTGCTACTGGTCAGCACTCCACAACTTTTCCATCGCTGATCGTGTCAGCGGTTTTCCAGTTACGGGCTTAACTTTATGGACTGCAAGTCTTTTAAATTTCAGGAAGTCAATCGGTGTAGTGGTCATAGTTCATTTTAATGTAAAATGTCCATTGTAATGATCAGTTTGATGATCAAATTTTAATGATCACAATCATAAGATTGTATTTTAATTTTATATATGTGTTGTCTTTTATTTTGTATGTGTGTATGTAAATAATAAACAAATAAGTTTAGTTAATAAAATTACTGAAAAAATTCGTTACTCGCTTCAAGCCCCTTTGTGACTTGAAAGCAACAGCAATAGTGTATCCATTAGTTGTGTGTGCGATAAAAGTTATTACTAGTAGATAAATCGCTTACCACTAGGCGAAATAGTGGTGAAACGTCGGCCCATCTAATATAAAAAACAAAAAAGTGGTGCAAACCGATAATTTGTTTAATATCCAAATTTCGCCAGTTAAACATAAATCACAGCTTACAAAGATAACATTTATTCGGTTAATTTCTAATCAGTATCAATTTTTCACTGCTTTATACTTACTTCAACTTTCTGATACTTTACCGGCAATAACCCTAGACTTGAACATAAAACGGATGGATTATGAAAGGGATGCGCCGCGCCGGGACAAAAACGACCAGGCATTTTTAACCCACGGCCGCGATGCGTCAATGATGTTTACTCTACCTAAAAGCTATCACGTCGGTCGTTTATACACCGTGTAGTTATAAAGGGGACGGAAGGGACACCGTAACAAAGTCGTGGCTTTGGCAGTACTGTTTTTTACCTTATTTTCATTATTGTTGTAAACGGTGTTTGCTACATATTATGAATGGTTAACATATCAAAATCACACGATGATATTATTATCATCACCATCAGTTATAAGACATTTAGTTGTGAGCATAGATTCCCCTTTATAACAATGATAGTATAATTTTAATAATGAGACCACCACAGATGGGTCTGATGCCGGATACGGAGCCGCGAAGGACTTAACGGGTTACCGGGGCTCCGGCTGAAAGGGCAGGAGTAGGAACAGGGTGGTTTTTAGTCAGTAAGAGTCTGACACTCCCTCCCACCTCACCCAAGCGGGAGACTTATTCCGATGATTTTACCCCTTAAAAAAGGGGGACGATGAGGCTTATAGAATGTAATAAAACCTTTAAAGTGCCCACATAGAAACCATGAAAGCCTTTATGGCATTCCAAAATCGAGGTTAAATTTCTGTTTTGAATGGTGAACGTGAAAGGCTAAAAGGGCAAACACGGAACCCATGACTAAGTTTACATTACCGTGTCCCTTCCCTGCTTGCGTAAAGTAAAAAAGGTTTTAATATAAAAGTCAGATTGGATCAATAGGTACGAGTATGAATGCGTAAATGTATGCAGAGTGACGTAGGTATGTGTGCAAACAATACCTGAGGCAATTAGTCGGCGATTCACAGCACAGTACCCGTTATTCCCTGTGGAGCTCAGACAAAAAGTCGTGAATTGATTGCGCGCCCACGTCAAAGCGAAACAAAAGTACTGACGGTAAACATTTACGCTAAAATACTGCAACTCGATGGGACGATATTTAAGTACAACTTTAAATTGAGTAGCCTTTTAGTATTCAAGCGTTAGACGATTCGGATTTCAAATGACATAAATTTATCTAACATTACTTACGCCTTGAAATGGTCGAAAATTTAGGTAGAGGCGAATAAAAGTGTTGCACACTTTTCACGATTTTTGTCATGAACTCCTTGATAGGTATGTGAGCCTATTTCCGTTCACTGGTGTTTTTCCATACGTCGTCGTACTGTAGCTCAAAAATTCACGTTTAACCGAAAAATTCTAATTCGTACATTGGCTGACCCGGTTATTGAAACCCTCCTTTTGTAGTTGGACTTGCTACTGCTCAACCAACGAGATACATCCATATGTGTTTACGTCTTTACATATTTAAAACCAAGATCCTTTATATCCATGGTTCTGTCTTAACATACACAAAGTTTAGGTACGGGTTATGCGTATATGTACGACGTACATCTAGAAATCATAATATTGAACTTATAACTAAAGAAAATAGCCTCGTATTCCTTATTCCAAGAAAACGGGTAAAATATTTGTTATACAAATACTCGGAATTCAATAAACTAAACATCCTGATTTCCTAGATAAACGTACCTTACATTGTCCACGTGTAGACAGAGTTATAATAATTATGTACATAAATATAATGAAATAAAAGGAAAGTTTTGATCATTTGTTTGTTTGTATTGAATATGCTAAAAGTCATTTAAAGCAAAGTAATTACGTAAAACAAATTGACCGATTTGAAAAAAATATGAATCCTTCAAAAGTACGATTAAAATACTTTTTATCCCTCTAGTTGTACAAGATCGGGACACAAAAGGAATTTTAAATTCACGCGGAAAAAGACGCAAGCAGGAAACCCATAGTACTTTACTACCTTTATATTATAATCATCACACAGATAGTCAAACACAAGTACAACCACACGAAATAACACATGTAGGTACACAATAACAACAATCTTAAATTGACGAACTTCCTCTTTGTTGAAAGTTGGTAGAACCTTCTCGAAGCGTTAATAGTGACAGCGCACGCGGCTTGAAAGTTCCCATCGTATTCTAACACACGGCCAGACTTGTTTAGCACACGTAAACTTGTAACTGAGACGAGTTCGAAACTTTGTGTTTACTTAAAACTGTTAAAACTCCACGGTACCAACTTTATAAGTGAAATAAAGTACCAAAGCTGATTTATCTAGGTCTACACGTTAACATTATACCTTTGTTAAGTTTACTTTCTGTCGATTGATTGTTCTTACGTGCACTATGTGATGTGTGTGCATGAGTAATACTAACGTAGCTGCCAGTTGTAAGCTATCGTTCAGAGTGCCCTAAACATTTAACACATCATAAGATATAATCTCAACCTACCCAAGAAGTGAATCGTTTGATTCTTGACAGTTTTAGATCAATAGGACAGTTTGTATCAGTTCATAAAATACAACAATAGATTAGGTATTAGCCGTCAGATGCTATTAATAATTCTTCCATACAACTTACTTACAAAACAACAATCCTGGAAGTCTTTAAAATCTGATTACTATCATTACTTCAACTTCAAACGTTTTACTTAAAGTTTAAAAAATTGCAACTTATTTCAAACATTGAAATATACTACTCGAATTGGATTCATACTTCCCAAGCAACATTAAACATTCAATAAAATGCGGCAACGAGAGCTCCATTGAAATAGTTCTTAGTAAAAAGATTCAGTTTATAACTATTGAAGTAGAAGCGAAGTGCCTGCTGCAGACGGGAAGCCATTTTATACGCAGCACTGACGGTGAACGGTTTAGATACTCTGTCTGTTATTGCAACTGAAAACTTTACTTATGAA